TTGAGATAGGTAGATTATCAGGGTGGGCCCTAAATAAGATCACAATATCCTTATACAAAGGCAGCACATGGAGATTTGACCACAGATACAAGAGGAAAAGGCAATGGGACCATGGTAGCAGAGACAGGTGATAAAATCACAAAGAATGCCAGCAGCCATAAGAAGCCAGAAAAGGCAAGGAATGGATCTGCCACTTAGAACCTCTGGGTGGAGTGTGGCCCTGCCAACATCTGGATTTTGGCTCGCTTATATTGGGTTGAACATCTGACCTCCAGAACTACGAGAGAATAAATTTTTGTTGTTGTAAGACACGAAGTTTGTGGTAAATTGTTAATACGGGAAGTTATGGAGCTCAACCTGTAACAGTTTTCTTTCCTTCAGAGGTAGAAACAGGTGACCAGACTGTTGCCCGCAATGGGGGAAGCACCATCTCTGTTCATCTATGTTGCAACCCAGAGGATCCCCACTACAACGTATCACAATCAAAAAGGGCTAAATTATGATTATCGGAGCTCTGAGCTGACAGGAGATGTAATATTTCTGCTATTTGATCCAAGGCTTAAAAGCCTCCTCTGCTAATGGAAAAACAAACTTAATCTTTGTCAGATACTCAACTATGGACTTACAATTGAGCTACAAAACTAAAGAATTGGTCTCCTGGAACTGTATCCATTTGATGGTAGGAATCTATAACTTTTAACCTTAAAATAAATATTAATGCTATAGTCACTGTCAAAGTAAAAATTCTTCATAATAAGCAAAAGAGGATTGGAAGAGTGACATTTCAGTTCCCTTAGTATTTCACAGCTGTCAGAGGCTAAGGTCATTTTTGACAAAGCCTATTTCTGGAAGCAGCTTAAGACCAAGAATCAAGAGAAATGAGTTATGGTCTTGATTGCTCCTGCCAATTTTAAATAAACTTTCAAATTCTATTTTCTCACCTATTCTTAGTTCAGTGGGGTTCTTTAAGCTCACAGATGTGAGAAAGCCCTTTGAAAACTAGAAGTTAAAGCTATGTATTGTATTCTCTCTGAGCATGATTTCTTCATCTTCATAAACTACACTTAGGATTTACTATTTGCTTTACCTCCCAAGGATTTCCAGTTATACCCAAGCTATGATTCCCTAGAGTTTCGTGTGTCCTTGTGCAAAAAACTCCTTTTTTAACAAGTCTTTTACACAAGATGGGAAATGTCAGGGCTTGTTTGCAAAATTACAATTGGAAATAAAAATTGCAAGAGACACTGCATCCCTAATCTCTCTTGTTTTCTTCTACAGTAATTAAAATATAAAATAAACATATATGTGAATGTGGCCTCATTAGGAACACGTATATCAATACTTTAATAAACAAAAAGAGGTCAAAAGTGGATTAAGACAAGACATAAAGCACAGGTAAACAGCATAAATTAAGAAAATGTGAAAAAATAAAAACAAGACTAAGCATAAAATGAGGCAAGGGTAAAGCCTGCTGCATACCAAAATCTCCTATCTACTGCTCTGTGCAGACCACAGATTTCACTAGAAATATTCTAGCAGTCCAAATACCCCAAATATACAATTAGCAAAATCCAAAAGACAAGCTACCATCCAAAAGTTTAGGCAACACATTACTATTCTTGATAATAACTTCAAAATCATTTCCCCCAAGTTTCCTTGAAAAGAGAATGGGTTGAATTTAAGGCATAATATATTGAACAGTTTTATTATATATGTAGACACATTTTTAAGCTACATTTACTTGCCATTAATTTGTAGACATAAGCTGGCTACTTCACTTGTTTGATTCAATGGACAATCACACCTTCTCCCCACAAAACATCTCTCGTTCCCAACTTCACACATCTTCCTTCACCAGGCAGTCCCTTTCAGAGGTAGACGCCTCTGGGAGTGGTCATCCAAAAGGAACTGATCTCTTAGTGATCTCTCAGTCTTCTCCAGGCTTAACACACCTGCCATCCCTACTATTCAGTTGATAAATTAATCAGATACTTCTTGAGTTACATATTAATTATAAATATACAATATGATCTCAAAGACATATCTATATCTCTATGATATATATAGTTGCACTCCCCCTAAGGAATTTCTAACCCGTGCATTGCCCAATGTAGAAAAAGAAACATTTTAAAGTCATAGAAAAATTAACCTATTTTGATTTTTCTATGCATTGACCTACTCTATAACTAGTAAGTTTCCTAAGAGATAACAGAAGAGATAATGGTGGGCCACACACAACTACAGAGGGTTTATGAGAATGAAAACATCCATCAGGTACATGTCTAATTGCCTATTTCACTGAAAAAGAAAAATAAGACCTGAAGAAAAGACATTTGGAGACATCTCAGCTTACTTCATCAAATATGATTATAGGAAAAATCTTTATTTCACAACGTAGAATTGTGTTATGGTTTGATGATATTAACAATTGTTTTGTCTTTTATCCATATTGTGATTTACTGACTTTTTTCCTCTGGTTAATTAAACATATTAATTCATGAACATAAAGTGCCATTTCATTTGAATTTCAACTCAAGTCCAGAATTTCTCACATTACCTTTACAATGGAAGTTGCCTTCTACTCTCCCAAAAGAATCTTCTTTCCAATGGTAGCAATACTGGGAGAAAATATAAGCCTGAGTAGCCTTTTGGGATATACCACTAAAAGCAAAGAGGATCTCGATGTGCTGTTCTGGTGCCAAGTGACCAATTACAATGCTCAGTTATCTTTCTGGAATAAAGTAGGAAGATATCATTCATCACGAATCTAATTGATCCAATTAACCTATAAAGCCCTTTTGCTTTGTGAGTTTCATTCATGCATTCAAGGTAAAAGAGAATTCAGCAGAAAGAAATAACCAACAGAATATTCTTTACACAGTAGATGCTTAAGAATTATTTGCAGTCCATAATAACAATAACAATAATCATGATCATGTAAAGACCATAGAATTTTAACTCTGAAATGTATCGACTATCAATTAATAGAGTATGCCCTTTTACAAACAATAAAACTGAGGGACAGAATTTGAGAAACTGAAATTGAAAGACAAAACCAAAGTCGTAGAGTTAGAGCTAACTGTATCTCTTCATCAGACCATAATTATATTTATTCATTCAAAACATATTTATCAAGCAACTTAGGTACCCAACACTGAGTTACTGATGGAGATAAACTCAAGAAAGATAAGGTCTTAGATGATCTTTGCAATGATTAAGAGGCAAGCCCAGGACAGAGACTAAGAGTGAACCCCAGGTCCACAGCTCATTAGTTGTGTGACCAAGAGCAGTTCACTTAAACTCAGCAAACCTCAGTTTTCCTATCTATAAAATGGAAATCATTTGTCTTCTTCACAAAGTGGTTGTAAAGATTAAATGAGATAACATATAATAATTTTAACAAATATCAATAAAATATAAAACAGGCAAAAGCAAAAATAAAAGTGAAATAGTGAGAGATATAGTGCCTGTCCTTGTGGAACTTATGACTTCATAAGAAAGATAATCAAATAATAATATAAATTTATATTTATAAATTATGACTAATGTAGGGGTCATAAGTGTGAATAACAGCATCATTGTAACTGAGGAGTAGAAATAGTTATGCATAAATTGTGTTAAGTCATACAGCTAGTGATATGCAGATATAGACAAATTTCAAAAACAGGTCTTCTCGACTCTAAAGCATATTATGTGCTAATTACCAGAGATACTATGAACAAAGTAGAAAGAGTCCTTGTCCTTGTGGTGCTTATAGTTCAGATTGTCACAACTACAAAGCAAAGCAATTGCCTGGTGAGATTATGAGAGGTGACATGGCTCGCCAAACTGTAAAGAGAGTTAACGGCAGAATCAGTATAATCAGAACACTTGCATGCACTTTGTCTGTCTCAGAGATTCTTGCACTTAGCCTTCTGTCCCCCTTTTGCCCCTGAATGTCTTTCTCTACCTCCACTAGAGCAGGAATTCTCAATTTAAGCCCATTATTCACTAGGAAAAACATAGATGAGCTTCAAGGGGGCCACCATACCCCTGAAAATGT